CCCCAGCTCTGTGCCCCAGGGAGCCAACCCACTCATATCGACTGCTTCAGGACTTTTGTCACTCCGCTTAAGGTTGGGTTCAATCTCTGCCAGGTGGCTGTAGGTTAGTTGTGTCCTTCTACCCAACGACTCAGCAACTATCAGGCAGCCCTCCCTATTCTGCTCTTCTTTGGTGCTGGCAACCTCTCCTTCTCCCACCCTTTAGACTAGGGCTGGAAATATTGCCCACCGTTGCTCAGTCCGGAGGTACACATCATCCTTGGTGATTGCCTTAAACCTTGCCCACCTCTTTGCAAATAGTCCCGTCCCAAATCATCTGGTGTGGGTGCATAGTGTGTGTCCTGCTATGGCTCAGAGACGTGTCCTGCAAGCGCCATACATCTATGTGGAATTGTGCATTTGATGCATTTTGGGATGAGTGTGTGCAGCTGCCAGATCACTCAAGTCAGAAAGCTGTGAGCACAATCATGGCTGTCACCTGTAGCTTTTACAGTGCTGGGTCTGATCAGATGCTGCAGGTGGGTGTACACAAGCGGATGTGCCTGAAGCTGTCCTGAGCCTTTCATTTGGCACATAAGAGAACATGACCTATCTGACCTATGAGTGTACCCACCATAGGTTGTACCTGAGGATACTGAGATGGCATGGCTGTCCCCTGAGAGGATGTGGCAGTGATGTGGTTGTTACGCGGGTGTAGCTGAGGCATGCAGCAGGATTTGAGTGTGGTTGTGTCCATCTGTGCCATGCCTATGTGGTTGTACCTGATTCCAGTTATCACAAGACAACATTGTTCTAAGTTTGTGACTGCAATTTGAGGGTTTGGTTGTCCTATTTGTGAGACTGTGCATGTGGTGACTGTGATTCCCACACAGGTACAAGTTGAAGATGACTCTGTGACTCTATCTGGGTTGGTGACTTTCATGCAAGCATGAGGCTGTGTGAAGATGTGCAAGGGAGATGTCACCAATCATCGCATGCAATGTGCTCCCTCTGAGCACGTGCATATTACGGTTCGTGGGGCAGAGGGTCCATGAGGCCATTCTGCGATGGCTGTGTGTGGGTGTGTCTGAGTCTGTGCAGTTATGCTGTGCGCCTGTATCTGACTTCACTCTGTGCTGTAGCATTGCTGGGCGTGTTGACAGGTGTGGCCCTTATGTGACTTTTCCCTGAGGCTTCCCCCCTCTCTCTCTGTACATAACTGTGGTGAGTTGGGATCCACATGGCTGTTATGTGTGTGACTGTTGTCTGGTGTCCTAAGTCAATGACATTGTTGCATGGCTGTACCTGAGATGGTGCCACTTTATCTCATTGCTTCACTGGGTCTGCTTCTGTATGGCTATATCCGAGCCTGTGAGTCTATTTCCAAGTTTGCGTGAACGAATCTGTGGTGTGTGGCTGTCGAGGGGTCTGTGTGCATGCCTACTGTAGCCCGCCTGTTACATGGTCAGGGTCACGAGTGTGCATGTATGCATGCCATGTGGTCACACATGGGTCTGTGGTCAGTCTGGGTCCAAGTGCGGCTGTATCTGAGTTTGTGTGGCAGTATCCGGGGCTGTTTGGTTCTATCTCCATCTGTGCGGCTGCTGTGTGGCTGGAGTGCATGTGTGTGTGCTGCGTACACACACACATACTCTAGAACGCAGTGCTGAATATGGCTGTGAACTACATTGCTGTCATGTGGCTGGGATGTGGCAGTATGTGATTCATGCTGTCACCTGTCTGGGAGTGGGGATGCATAGCTGTGTGGGCATCTGCGTGGATATAGCCGAGCCTGTGGGTGGTGTCTGAAGCTGCTGCTGTGTGTGTGTGTGTGTGTGTGTGTGCACGTGTGTTGCCCAGCAGTGTCCGAGTCTGTGTAGCTGTTGTGTAGCTGGTGTGTGACTGTTGCACGTGTGTGCCCCATGGTCAGGCCATGTCCGTGAGGCTGTGTGGTGTGGCGTGCATGTACCCTCATGCTGTGTCCAAGTGTGGCTTTGGTTTCGGGGTGATGCCTGGCACCCCATCCCAGCCTAACCTGGTCTGGGAGGCTGGGGCAGGAGGCCGAGTAGTCCTCGAGATCCTCCCTGCAGCCGCCATCTCGATCCTCGATGACCAGGTCGATGGGCATCTTTCCCTTGAGGCAGGTGATGTAGCGGTGACAGAAGTTGTCGCACAGGTCGTGGACCTGGGGGGGCACCGGGGTACTGGGGGGACACCCAGGGGCCAGGGCTGGGGTGCACAGGGACGGGGTGGTATTCTGCTTCAACTCCAGCGGGGAGAGAGCCTGAAGTGGAGGGTGCAGGAGGCGAGAGGGGGAGGCATGTGGGGCAAGTGGGGGCGTGAGGGGAAGTGAGGGGTGCTCACCTTCTCCAGCTCCAGCAGGTGGAACCTGAGCACCTGGATGGCCTGGATCATCTGAAGACACAGACAGGAAGGGACGGGAGTGGGGGAGGGAGAGAGAGAGGAGGAGGAAGGAGGAAGAGAAGGAGGAGAAAGGAGAGGAGACAGAGAAAGAAAGAGGGAGACAGAATGACAAAGACAGATAACAGACAGAGACAGAGCAAAGAGCGAGTGGGGGAGGGAGAGAGAGAGGAGGAAGAAGGAGGAAGAGAAGGAGGAGAAAGGAGACGGAGAAAGAAAGAGGGAGACAGAATGACAAAGACAGATAACAGACAGAGACAGAGCAAAGAGCGACAAAGACAACAGGGGCAGAGGGAGAAACAGGACAGAGACAGAGACCAGAATTAAGGAAAGAGAGGGTGTTAGATAGAGAGGCAGAGACAAAGAAAGGGACACAAGCGACAGGAAAGTGTCCATCAGAGGAGGAGTGAGCTAGGTGCACCATGGAGTGAACACACCTGCCCCATGCTGGTTTGCGCCCAGCCCCATTTTCCACCTTTCACCTGCAAACTACACTTCCCAGCATCCTTTGCTGAAGGGCTTGGCCAGCAGGAAACCCTGGCAGGAGCTTGGAGAGCAAAGGAAAAAAGAAGCCGGGGTATTTCTTCCTTTCTCTCTCTCCCTTCGCCTCCTCTCCTCCTCTCTCCTCTGCAGCTATGTCCCTGTGCTCATTTCGGTGTGGGCTCTGTCCTCCTGACAGGTAGAATGGCAAATGTCCCCACTCTGTGCCAAGCATTGCTCTGAGGGCTTGACTTGTGTTCATTCATTAAATCCCCACAGCAGCCCTAAAAGAAATTACTACTAGGTACCCTTTACAGTGAGGACACTGAAGCACAGGGAGTCGGAGCTACTTGCCCTGTGGCACAGAGCCAGTGAGTGGCAGGGTTTGGATTCGAACTCAGGCCATCGGTCCCATTCTCAGCATTGCCAATGGGCAACAATGATCAGGGTCTGAGAAAGCAGACCAGGTGGTCTCCTCTGCTCACCTGCCAGCCAACCCCAGGGATATGAGGGTGGGGCAGGAGACCCCCCTGGAGGAGGGAGCATGGGCGTGTGGGTCTCACCAGGTTGTCCAGCTCTGGGTTGGAGGAGAAGAGGGGCCTTTCGAAGAGGACCTGTGAGGGAAGAGAGAGAGTGAGGGCACATGCTGTCTCCCAGCCACCCCTCCTTGCTGGCTTTCCCGGCACATGGCCGATGGGAGTGTCCACCTGCTTGGCAAAGGCTGTGATGTCCTCGTTGAAGGAATCAGAAGAGCAGACGTCGCCGCCCGGGGGTGTGCTCAGCCCAGCCCCGGCCCCGTCGCGGGGTGAGCATGTGGCCAGTTCACATTTCTCAAAGACCAGAGCCAGCAGGGGAAAGAGCGGGTGTCTGCGGGAGGCAGGAAGGGACAGTTCATGAGCGGAGGGCAGGTGAGCTGTGAGGTGCGACAAGAGACCCAGAGAGATGAAGTGGAGGCAGAGACACGGAGAGACAGAGACCGAGGCACGCAGAGAGAAACAGACCCAGAGAGCAAAGGCACAGAGCGAGACCGAGACAAAGACCAGAGGGAACGGCAGAGGCAGAGAGAGACAGAGCCAGAGGCCCGCAGCCCAGAGCCCCCGCCCTGTCCCCAGGCCCCTCTTACCCGTAGATCTCGTCCTTCTGCCTCCTCAGGCTGTCGCTGTCCAAGCCTGGGGCCGGGGGCTGTGGAGGCCGGTGCAGGCCGTAGGGCCCCGGGGCTCTCGGCGCCTCGGAGAAGCCGGCCAGGGCTGTGGTGCTGTCCACGAGGCCTGGGTAGTGGGGCAGCTCATCGTACTGGGGGAGGCGAGATGGGGACAGCCCCGGGAGGGGTCAGACGCCCAGCTGAGGAGCTTCCCTACCCTGGGACGCTCCCTCTGTGTCCCAGCAACTCGCCCTTCTGGTCCCCAAGTTCTGAGCCCCTACACCTTTAAGCCTCTCCTGTCCCATAGAACTGTCTGGGTGGGACTGAGGCCACTGTCCCCACGGACTTCTCTTGTGCCCTGGACTGTGAAAAAATGCCCCGTCAGAGATTCCTGACGTGTGGGTGGGAGGACCCAGAGGAAGCAGCTGAACCAGGTTGTGGATAGGAGATGGTGGTCATGATGGTCTGGCTGGTAACCACCAGCCCTCACAGAGGGAGGAGGGCAGGACAGAGGGGACAGAGCGAAAGACACGGAGAAAGTCAGAGTGTGTCCTAACAAGCTGTCGCACCCTACTCGCCATGTGAATCCACCACACACATATACGCAGACAGCCACACACACAGCCACGTGCACACCTATGCACCCACACACCCCCACATACACTGTGGTGCACATCCCCCACAACATGCAGGCTTAGAGGACCCCCCATCACCAGAGACACCCCCTACACACACACAGACACACACACACACAGAGGCAGAGCCAAGCTCCAGGCACGGGAATGAATAATGAATGAATGAATGAAGCATTTAGCGTAGTGCGTGGAACACATTGGACAAGCACTTGTTGAAGGAAAGGACAGCTCCACACGACGGCACACACACGCTTGTGCAAACAGCCCCGAAGAGAAACATGCACATCGCGGTGAGATTTCCTGTCCTGTTGTCATGGAAGCGCACACCGGGGAGGCCCGAGGAATCTTTGAATCTGCGGGTCAAACCCTTTCCTTGTCGATGAAGAAACTGGGGCTCAAGGGGTAAAGGGGCCCGCCAAGGGGCAGCGCAGGAGGGACCCCGGGACGTGGCGCCGGGGCTCGGCGCGTCCTCTTTCCCTCTCTGTCTTTCGCTTGCTCTTCTCTCAACTTCTCCTGAGCCCTGAAGTTGGATCTGGCTGCTCCTCAGCGGGGTCTTCCCGTCCTGCGGTGTCCCCCACCCTCCCCAGTGGGTGCCGCCCTCCTGTCCTGTCTGCTCTCCCCCGTCCCACCTGTCCCAGCACTGTCCCACCGCAGCCCTCGGGGTGGGGGCTCGGAGCAAAGTGGACCCGGGATGGAGGAGGGGACCGCGCCACCGGGAGGGAACCAGACAGAGGGGCCGAGAGCGGCGGGGGACGAGGAGGCGGAGAAGGAGACGGTGGAGCGCGCGGGAGGCGGGTGCAGGCACGGGGCGCAGACGGGCCGGGGCGCCGGGCCCGCGCTCGGACCTCCCCTCCGGGCCATGGGCCGATGGCGGCGGCAGCTCCCGGGTCG